GATTTATGAAGTGTTGTAAAATGTTACAAATAGATTTAATTGATGTTAAAGTATTTTTTTTATTGCAAAAGGTGCATTTACACAAAAACTTTTTTTCATAACATTGTTTAAAAATGTATTTGATGTTTTATATTTACTGGAAGTAAATTGACTCTTGAAGGGACAAATTTGACACTGTTAAGGTACAAAGTGTCTTGTCACTGTAGTGGTATCTTCATGGATCAGACTTGTACCTTTGATGAAGGTACACGAGTGTATCTGCAGGTTTTAAAAAAACAATGGTATATTTTGGTTTATATCTTTGATTTGCCTAATTATCCTAACTTGCCTAATTAACCTAGTTAAGTCTTTAAATTGTACTTTTAATCAGAGACATTATTTAAACATTTTTATATAGTTGGGCTATACTTTATTTCATTGTAAATAAATATTAACTGTCATTATGGCAAAGATAAAATAAACCAGTTATTAGAAAAATGGGCATCAAACTAATATGTTTAAAAATTTGTAAAAAAATATATATTAAGCAGAATTTGGGGGAAAAATATATTGGGGGGGCTAATAATTCAGGGGGCTAATAATTCTGACTTCAACTGTACATTCATATGGTCAGTTAACACAATTAAATGTCAGTGCTGTCACCTCACAGCAAGAAGGTCACTGGTTTAAACCTCTTCTGGGTCAGGTGACATTTGTGTGTGCAGTTTGCATGTTCTCTCTCTATTAATAAAGGGACAAAGCCGAAAAGTAAATGAATGAATGAATGTTAATTGCGTCATACATGACTTTTATACATAAAGTATAATTATGTATAAATTAAAAAAAAAAAATAATTATGACAGCCTCTTTAGGAGAGTAATAAAAAGAGCTTGCTTAATTTCCAACAATTAAATAAAAATACAGATAAAGTTGTGAGCAGTCCTTCAAACAAATGTTCCTCATATGTGCTGTGTGTCTTTTCTGTCTTGTTTTCTCCCCATTTAAAGCTATTCCTCCATCCTCCATCCATCTCCCTCCTAACCGTCCATTTGTCTCATTCTTCCTCTGATTTGCTTTGCTCTGTCCATCTCTTCAGACGCCAGCAAGCTGTTTTCCGAGGCTTTTAGCTGTCCACCTGTCAGCCTGTTTTTACCTCTGCCACTGAAATGCCTCTTCCATCTTCCTATTATGTGCACTTCTATCTCTTAGCCTTTCCCCTGCACATCTCTTGCTACACCTCCTTGACTGCAGCAAGTGTTTTCTTTTGTTCCCATAAAAATCATAGTATGGCGTGAAAACAGACAAAAAGATAACAGCAAAGAGCTAGCTTTTATTGAAGGTTTGTGTGAGTTTGCTGTGAAAAAAAAAGAAAACTGTACTGAAAGATCTATGCAGGGGTCAGTTTGGAAGGCAGGGTCAGGGTTATAGATGCCACTGCTCAAACAGCTCTACACACCACACTTGAAGTTTCTAGTGCAGGGCTTTTTGGGAATAGATTGATATGGTAATTTATAGAAGTTAACAGACAAAGACTGACCTCTCAACTACAGCCTGGTAGCATGTCTAACAGCCCAGTTCACTGTTTGGCAACAGTTTTAGGGGGAAAAAATACCAATTGTGAGGAAAAATAAAAAAAGTTTGATGTGCTTGTTTGTGGAGCTCCAAGTTTGTAAAACCTCCAGAACTTAGAGAATTGCTCTAGTATGCAAAACTGCCTTTTAAAAGGGGTTTAAAAACACAGCTGTGTGGCAAGTGTGTGAATATAACCAGCCTCTCTAATGGTAACAATTAATTGATTTACTTTTTACACTTCATAAATACAGAGCAGAAACACTTCGATTGACATTCTCCTTTGTCCACGTCAAAGTTCTGCATATTAGTGACAATCTCTACCTCATTAACATAAACAGCACAAAGTGAGAAGCAGCTGTCCATCATTAGAAGTTTTCACACCCTTCCTGCCAATTATCAGCTACTATGAGGCAAGATAAATATTGAGTTTTAGGATGCAAAATGAACACCGTAGTTTTTAATAGACGCTTTCGGAGCAACGTCTTTTGACATTATCAGTTCTCCACACACACACACACACACACACACTTATTTTACATCTTGTAAAGAGACATAATGAGTCACCTTTAAAAATAAAATTACTAAAATGTAAATAGGCTCAAGAAAAGTTTTAAACATTAAAATGAAAGCAAAAAATATATAACGCAATTAATTTATTAATAAAAGCATTATCAGGTACTCAAACTAATTCATAAACTGTAGGTGTTGTATGATTTAATATTAACTTAGAGTCATTATTTTATTTGACTTCTTTTAATTGGTTTTCTTTTAAACCTTTATTTAATATTAAGAAGTACATTAAAAAAAAAAAAGTTTGTTTAATTTTTTTTTTTTTAGGACTGCACATTATGGCCCTTACTAAAATAAAACATTTTAATATTGTAGTACAGCACGTATATTGTAACAAGGATGCTGGACAACAGGATTGAGGATCCACGTACAGTTATTTATTAAGAACAGTAGTCAGACAAGCAATGGTCAACACAGGAGCAAAGCAACGCAGTATGTAGTGCTCATTGTAATAGGCTAAACTGTCCGTAGTGTATGATTGTGAATGTGTATGGATGTTTCCCAGAGAGGGGTTGCAGCTGGAAGGGTATCCGCTGCAATAAAAATGGGTATACAAATGGGTATTCATGAGCATCATTACGTATTTTTTACAACAAACAAACGCATATGTATTTTAGTCATGCTTACAAAATAAAAATAAAAAAAATAAATAAATAAATAATAATAATAATACTTCTATAAATCTATAATATTCGATATCTATAATTAATAATAAATCCTGTCTCACAACATCATTGTGGGATATGCCAACCATAATAAGGGATTCCCCCCTCCCCCTTAAAAACCCCAAAATTATTAAATATGTTCACTTGGAGCCCTTTCATTGTAAAACAGTTAAATGGTCAGTAATAAGTTTTATTATTATTATTATTATTATTAACAAAAGAAAAATAAATATATACATTAGCAGCAAATACATTAGCAGACAATTCAGCTTATTGAAATTAATAGCTATTATAAATGAAATAGAATTAAGCCAATCTCATTAGCCGTTTTTCCACTGTATAACTTACACATTCTGATTAAAGAGCAACGAATTAATCTCTCATTTATTAAGATTTTATCATCACTTTAAAAATGCACACATCTAACTTTATAATGAAAGCATTTTAATGCTTTCCTAACTTATGCTCATTTAAGACGAAATTAGTTGTGTTTGGGGGGAAAAAAAAGGACCAAGATCGACATGTATTATTATATGTATTGTTATTAATTATGTGTGTATGTCTGTTTAAACACGCACCCAAAAGCCAGACTCTCTCCGCTTCAAATCGCGTGTACAGAGTTTGTTTGGGAAACAGCGTCTGTTTATCACTATGGAGCTTGTCAGCTGACAGTCATGCACCATCATATTATTGTTTTAAGGATTGTATAGGATGGGCGATGGCACATGTAATCAAAAGGTAATGGAATTGCGCCGTTTTAAATATTTATTTATAAGTGTTTTCATTCCTAAAGCAAAAGCACAGAAGACTCACTTTTTAGAGCAAGTATGGGTTGCGTATAGGGAGGCTCAGCTGTTCAGAGAAAGACTGAAAATATGGAAAAAATACGTGAAAATACCTTAACAGGATGATAGCGGGATAGAACAGTAAAGTACAGGAGAATACCGGTAAAAACGGGAGGGTTGACAGGTATACGCAACACTGACACTTGACGACACTCGAATACCCTGTCTGAAAAGTCTAGTGGCTGGAAATTAGCCTTTTACAATGTCTGCTATAATGTTAATGTTGTTTTTTTTGTATGTTTACAAATGAATATGACCATGGTGTAAATACACAGTACAGTTACGATCTTATTGCCACATTGGATTGCTCATTATGATAACATGATATTTACCTTCAATGATTTCCTGAAGATAAATACCAAAAAATAACACAACTGTAATAACTACAGCCATCGCGATCGTCTGATCTCATATTAAGCAAGTGATCACGATGACATATGATGACGTGTGCAGGTGCTCTAGGGGTGTCCCAATTCTTATAGGTAAATTTTGAAGCCCTTCCCATTCACACTCGGTTTAAAGGGCCAAGGGAAAAGGGTAGAGGTACAAAAATAGAATTGGGATTGGGCCCTACTGTACATCTGTGCAGTTTTTGCTACCTACTCTATTTGAATTACAGAAGGAAAAAAACCTGCTTGTG